AGAGAGAGAGAGAGAGAGAGAGAGAGAGAGAGAGCGTTCGGGGGGGGCTGAACGGTGAAAATTGATATTGCGCGCACAATCGGAACAAGGATCACAATGCCGATATAATCCGCTCGAACGCAGCCGGAAGAATATAAAACGCGAGAGCCGCGCGTTTTATCCGAGGCTCGAAAAGCTTGTGATCTTTTGCCCGGGCTGAAAGTATCCATTATTAAACCCGGATCGCTTTTAACATGTCACTTTTATTACAGAAACAGACGACTTTTCATAGCTTTATTATACGCTCATAATTACTACACATTTCCCTATCGTAATTCAATTCGCCAAAGACAGGCGATTGTTATTAATTTTCGATGATGGCCGTAATGCAGCGCATTCCGTGAGAGTTAAAGCTTTTTACGATTTAATATATTGAATTTAAGCGGGGAGAGAGAATGCCGCGCCGAATGGCGTTACCAGGCTTATTGTTCCCTCCCTCGTAACGCCGCATTGTTCCATTTGTAGTATTTTCAATTGCCTCATATTTGAACTTTGATCACCGCTTTTTATCCGAACAACCAGCACGAAACAAATGCGCCGTCAGGGAAATTTTACGATAGAAAGATAAACGCACGCGCGCGCGTGTGTGTTTGTGTATACACGCAGTGTGTAATTGTAAACGCGGTGTATTTATGATACGCTACGCGGATTTGTGCGCGATATCCGCATAAGATCAACTCGAAATGCGTAGCCCGTATAAATCTCCTACATCTTTAATATGATAAATATGACATGTAGAAAATGTAAATATAATTAAATATGGATTAATATAATGCAATATGGAGATTCGTAAAATCACTAATACTGCCACTCCCGAAAGTGTTGGGGGCGCATTGTATTTATTCCGTATTACGTTATACCGCGAATCTTTTCCTTTGTTTATATATAAAATGCAAGCTCGAGACTACGCGTAATGAAATATCGGACGAACTGTATAGGTTTCCTACCTGTGTGTATAAACTAAGTAATTTAAAATTAATAATGGATCGCGTTAAATGATGATCCTGATTACAATACTCGATTTCAATTAGTTCTCATAAAATTTAATTAACATTTACGTATCAAAAAATAACAAAGCTATTTTATTATAGCCATTAATTAATATTGTTTAATTTTAAATCTTCATGCACGTGGATGATATCCGATTACCTTGCAAAATTGGTAAAATCGGTATGGTTTTTGCCTGGAATATTTACATTGATGAATAATCTATTGTTACATGATTATATTTAAAAAAATATTACAAATATCACTTTTGCAGAAAGTGCATATGACAACTCTATTAGAAACTTTATTTTTTTTGCGCACAAAAGAGAAAGAATATTACAAAAAAATCATATTTGAAAAAAAACTTTATCAATGAATAAAAATAATATCTAGATTGCTGTTGACTCAGAAAATTTGATAATAAATTATTAAAACTTTCTCTCTTGTTTTTTTTTTTTACAATTTTTTTATGCCACATGGAAGTGCTTTCTCTGTAATAATTGATTTGAATGCATTGTCGAATTGCAGTTCTTTGTTCCATCTGCTTTAGACATACTCGTTGCTTACGTGCCAGCTACCTTAAATTCCATTATAGCAGGCTAGTGTCGATAGCGTAAACGTAACTTTATTCCCTCTATCTTAACACGACGTAATATCCAAGGAAATAAACTACGAAACCATCCCGATTTCGATTCGTCGATGCTCGCGAGATTCTGGCTTATCCAAGACTATTTCCTCTATCTTTACGAGGTCGTCACGATCTACGGTTAAATATTGAGGAACACGCCTGTCCGCACGGGATTGGAACTCGTATGTGGTTCTGCAAATGGCGTTGGAGACTTCATATTAAATGCCTCAGCGTGTCAAATACTCCCGAATAGATTTACGAATTAGATTAAGTGTCCTGTGCGAGCCAGCGCAAAATTTTGTCGCTTATATTAAAAAAAGAATCATCGCAACGCTTGGAGTTACAAGCAGCTCAAAAGTGAAATTAAAAAAAAAAAAACGAGTTCGGTAAAGTGATAAAATTTCATTTTGGTATATTTGAATTTTTTAATGGAACAGATTCTCAAGTATCTCAGAAACCTCCCGAGCTAGCGTGTGTGGCGTTTCACCGAAAAATATCTGGAAACGGGAATTCGGATTTTCTCCCAAATACCTCGCAAATTGTACGTTCTACAAGAAAAGTGCAC